CCGCAATAAACCCCGCAATCTCCTCCCCATACACCTGCTCGACCCACGCATATATCAGATCAATACCTGCAGAAATGCCCGAACTCGTCCAGATATTGCCGTCCACGACCCAGCGCGCCTTACTCACCCACTTCACATTCGGGCCCTGCTCTTTGGCCTATTCCACATCAAAATCGGTACGAAGAAGGAGAGTTGAAAAACGGGGACTTACCCAGACGAATGCTTTCTTATTGCTAGTCGCTTGTCGTCCATCCAACACCCCAGTCTTCGCGAGAACGGCAGAGCCAGTGCAGACTGTTAAACAGTACTTCAGACTCGGATACACGGTCTTGATAAATTCAATCGCAGGTCGGAGATTCGCTTCGTCTCTCGTTCCAAAGCCTCCAGGGATGAGCAACACTTCAAGGTCTTTCGGCGCGCTGTCAAATGTGTGGGTTGGGACGATTGATTCATGGAAGTTGGAGTTAGAGATTTTGCCTTGCTTGTGCTTTGTAGACACGGGGTCCAGTGTTGCGGCGAGAATGGAGAGATTGAGATTAGTTTCGGTGGAGAGGATGTTGAGGACGTCGAGGGGACCGAAGACGTCGAGAGATTGGAAGCCGGGAAAAAGGACGACGCCGAAGTTTTTGGGTGGGGAGGACATTGTTCTTGCGATTGAAATAACGGCTGATGTTGATTTGGCGATGTTTTGGAGTGTGAAGTTTGGAGTAGAAGTCTATGCCGAGAATGGCTTATGTGTGTTGATGTGATGTCGAGAGATGAAAGGTCCTTTCCTTTCTATTGTTGTTTGTTGGTAGCTTCTTTAACCACAAAATGCGCCTTCTATTCTAAAACCAAAACAAGTGGAAAGGAAGCCGTGAGTGGATATATCTGACACGCAGAGAGGTAGAGCGGATTTATGACTAACAGCGGTGGACAGGAGCTTTGAGATCCCGATCTCGGGAGGTTTTCTTCCAAGCTTCTATCTCGTTCCTCTCCGGATTTGATTCGCGCGAGGTGAGTCATGTGAATTTGGAAGGGCGTGCCTAGGTTCTTTTTGGTAGTATTCCGCGCCGATATCATGCTTGCAGGAAGAGCCATGCGGCGAAGCTATAGCTTGGAGAAAGCTTGAGAAGCACGTCTCCGGGGTCGTTTTCCACGGCTGAGAGTTTAGGAAAGGAATTGCACATCTAATTTGGATTCGACCTCAAGAGTGGAATTAAAGGCTAGACGATCTATTGCGAGATGGTCTTTCTTTCCAATTGATCCCTACCCAAAGCATTGAGATTAATTGAGAGATACAAATACACCAAAGTCCTGCAAGCTCATATGACTGGTTGATGAGCTCTTACGAAGAGATTGTCTCCAGCCGCATCATCATCTACACCAATCTATTGATATGAATACCCTCCTGCTCCTGCACTGTGACCGTTGGGAACAGCCTCGCCTTCGCAATCCTCTCCTTGGTGATGAGATACGCACGCGGAATATCTCCACTCTCTACCATTTTCTCTTGCAGCACATGCACATTTTCTCCAGACTGTTCTCCCAGAGCCATGTCGACCACCGCTTTTCCGCAGAGAGTTCCATTTGGCATGCCATGGCCCGTGTACCCACCAACAAGCCACAAACCTTCCTTATCCGGCACTTTGCCAACCCAAGGATGGTTGTCACGAGAATAACCCATAATGCCGGTCCATTGGGCTGTGGCTTCGAGTTCCTTCAATCCATCTGTTTCGCCTTCCAACTCGAGGAGCTTTAATAAAGCGCTACGAAGGTAGGCTGATGTTCCTTCGTCTATGATGCTGTCGTCAGATACACCAACAGTGGGGAGACGGCCCGCACCACGACCGCCACCGAACATCAGATGTCCAGCCGGGTTCGGAACCCCGTGGAAAGGTCGCTGGACAAGGTAGTCGTCGTTGTTGGCCGGCTGGCTCAAGGCTCCTACCATGCCATACGAATTCGGGAGAATGGTCGAGTTCTTTGGTGGGAGAAGAGCGGACATCTGGCCACGGACAGGAACAATGAGGTCGGCGAAGTGCGGGAGGATGGCAGAAGTGTAACCATTTGTTGCGAGAATGAGAGTTGAAGTTGAAATGAGCCCACGGGGCGTGAATAACGTGTGCTTAGATCCTTCGGAAATGATCTTTGTGACTGGTGTGTTCGTTTGAAGATTGAGTTTGCTGTTCTTGACGAGCTTCTCGAGGACAAATGTAACGAGTTTGTATGGCCACAAGCTCGCCGCCCCTTGCGAAATCGTAGCGCCTATACAACTCTCATCAACCCTATGCTGCTTCAACGCCTCCTTATCCTTGATGATCGAGACTAGCTTGCCAATATCCGGCGCAAATTTGTTAAGACAGGCTAATGCTTGCTCTGCTTCCTTCATGACCTCTTCGGTCCAGAATGTGCGGCAGCCGGAGACGCTACGCCATTCGCAGGGAACGTTGTGGGTGTTGATGTATGATTTGACCGTATTATAATTCTTGATTTCAAAGGCAGCTACATCAGGCAAGCGGTCAAAGAGAAGAGGTTGGCAATGTCCTCCATTCTGTGCCGCCGATCGTTAGATCCCACAGGAGGCAAAATGGAACATTAGGACCTACCCTTCCAGTAGCACCCCAACAAGCCTCCCTAGCTTCTAACATAACCACGCTCTTTCCCTTAGCCCTTTTGTCGTCCGCGAGGTATCTCGCAACCGCAGAGCCCGTGATTCCACTGCCTACAACCACTATATCTGCTTCCTCCGGCAATTCCTCCGTCGTACGATGGCCGAGCAGAAACCCATTAGGCTCAGTGTGCCAGAACGAATTGGTGGAAATCGGCGTGGGCAATGTTGCGCGTTCGTGCTTCATTTTGGGCTAAGTGCAGAAGGATAAGACTAGAAGGCGGGGTTGAAGGAATATGGAGGACTGCGGAGGGTTGAGGTTGACGAAGAAGTGGGACAACCTTGTAGTCCTCCGGTTGCGGAGGACACGCACGCAAGGCATGAGTTCGAGTTGGCGATGAAAATATCATCGTGAGGGGGTTTGAGAAGGTTGCAAGTTCCTCGACATGAAGGTACTCTCTCATATTTTCGTTCGGAGCGGTGGGGAAATTGATCGTGACTAAGCAAAGGGCAGTGCAGGACGAAAACGACCTTCGGAGTTGCGGCCGTCCACACTTCAACTTCTTACCACTCATCTTGGATGACTTTGATGTGACATATTTCTCCTTCATGAAGGGAATGTATTCTCTCTCACCTTCGTCATCGAATAGCGATCAGGTATCTTAGGTTTCTCAAAGCACGAGCACTTAAGCGTTCTTGTCATTCGATATCCATTTTGACTCCATAAACGCATTTGCCGATGCTGTTGGGCTAATATACATAGGGGAAACGACAGACCAAGCTGTTGACACCAGAATACAGAGTTTCACCTCTCAGAAACTCGTAGACAACGCCCTGCATCAAGGCGGGCAGTCTCCTCGAACCAGCGATGAATTCCAATTTCATTACCATCATCCATCGTCCATTAGCATAAAGAAGTGGGACACTCCATCAAGAAGCACCATACCGGCCAGCAGCATGTTGACAATGAGCACCTGGCTTATTGTGAATCGTGGTAAACACCGCTCATGACTTGCGTCCGATGTGGAAGAGCTCCTTGGCGGTATCGGTGACGGAGAAGTCGTTGAACAGCCAGGAGTTCGAATGCCTTCCGTGCCACATATCGCTGCCGCTCGTGCTCCTCCGCGACGGGCCTTGCAGACTTGGTCGGGTTGGCTGAGTAGCCACGGTTTTCATTGAGCTCTGACTCCCACTCGAAGTATGTCGAGGCTGCTGCGGTCTTGCTGCTGTAAAAGTGGGGCTGATCGGTTGCGCACTCGAAGAGGGGGGAAAGTGCTCCGGCGGAAGCACCATTGGAGACTTTGATCGATTTCGAGATACTCTAACGCGGGATCGGCTTCGTGAGCGGCCGCGTCGCATCCGCGAAGCGATGGCACCGAAGAATGACTCTTCAGTTGGTGATGCGGGATTTTGTCTGCCCTGTCGAGCGATGGATGAGGTTGGGGAGAGAGCATCAGGCGACCGTGTCCCAGATGACTGAGACTTCTCGGAAAGGGTCGTCGAGGTGCGGATGGGAGGCGGGGGCTGGAAATGTGATTTTGGGGCGGATGACATTTTGGCAACCTGAGTGATTTGCAGGCTGGCGTGTATGGAGCTGGTGATAGCGGGGTAGGATACGGCGAGAAGACGAAGCTCCAAGGCTTAGATGGAAAGTCTTGCGATTGAGCGGCGGGGGGGCAAACCCGTTCAAATAGATAGGATTGAAGGAATCTAGATCTTGAGGACAGATTTGCGGCTCATGACACCATGTGCCTCCTCCTCGTCTTATATCTATGCATTCCTCGCTGGAGGACAAAAGTCCCATAGTCCCACACTTAGGCGCATATCTCTCCCCAAAGGAGGGTCGGTGAGCACAGTGCCCCCGCAGCGAATCAAGTTTCCTCATTCCTCCTTCGCGTACCCAGATGGTGGGCGGGAGTGGTCGATGCACAGAGAATTCACCGCTGGTGACTATGTTGAGCTGCAGGTGGCGGGGCCATCACCTGCAACGACAGCGCATCCAGCCGAGCGACGAGCTCCCGACGGACTCCGACTCGCAATAAAAGGCTGCATTAAGGCCAATCAACGGGCATGCCGGGCCTTGAGGGGAACGGAATCAGGAATAGCTGCCTTGGAACCAAGGCTCTTGTGTCAACTAACTCACCGGCTGGAGGAGTAACATCACGCCAAAAAGCACTCACTTGAGTTTGCGCACGTACTTGGAGGAATCTTGACTGTGATAGAGTGCGAAACAGGACTGTCGCAGAAGTGTTGTTTCGAAACAAGCCATATTATGTCGTGCCAATGGAACGGCGACACTTGTGCAAAAAAAATTTGAAAGAAAATGGTGTGAAGATCAAAAATGCACAGGAAGGATGCATCAAATATTCCCAGTAGAGTGCCAAAAAGGCGTGTCAAATGCAAAAAGAATTGCATTGTCCGGGAGTCGAACCCGAGCCATTTGCTCGCCCTACTGAGGGGTGTAGTAGATGGAAGGCAAATATCCTACCGCTGGACCAACAATGCCGAGTCGCCATTCTGATCAATGAGCAATAGTCGCACTCCACTAGGCCAACTGTTGTTAACCTGTTGTTGCAAGAATTGAAAAATTATTTGCTAAATATACACGTTACAATGTGTGGGAGAAGCCCCACATAGGAGTACTTGCCAACCACCGACCACCGACCACCAAAGGTCCCACAGTAGTCATTGGATCTCCGTCCTTAACTTACCAGTTTGTTAAGTGAAACGCAAAATAATTTAATATTCTATGTTTAATACTTTATGTAGAACCCCAAGTCTGGAGGTCAAACCGAAGTTTGGGCTGGCCAACCAAGGACTAGAATTACGGCCCCGTGCCACCTTCAACAGGACTTGTTCTTGGACACACACTACAAATCACAGCACTTTCAACGTCATTGCTAAGGCTTTGTACAGCTTGTGATCATGGCTATAGAAAGCTCTATAGAATTCCATCCTGGTATCTAATATAAAGGCTCTAGATTTAGCAGGGAATGTAGGGTACAGCTTACCTTGAGACCCAAGACGCATTCTTTAGTATGCGAGTCCCTGCACGTCCTGTTGGAGCTAGAAACTACGATGGAAAAAGCGGCACACCAAAAGGTACATGGTTGACAATACGATCTGTGGATCCAGTACGCAGTATAATGCCGCCAACGGGATTATATAGAGCAAGAAACAGGTATATCCCAAAGACTTTGTGGCCACGGGGGCCTTTGTCCTGCTAGAGGTAAGCAAAAATCTCAAACCCCCGAGTGCCTCTTTGTAGGCGGATAGCTTTTAACTGTTAATTGGTCTCTGCTTGCTATTTACGGTCTGAATAGGAGTAAGGCCAATATAATGCATGTATTTCCGAGCGCCAGGAATTGTACAGTATGTCACTATTCTCTCTGCTTCCTCATTCTCTCGGTGCCAAGCTAATCCATTAGCAGCCTCAATACCGCCGCGTCTTATCTCCAGCGGCAGATGCTTAGATAAGTATACTCCAAACTATATCACCTCCAATACTCTAATTTTAGTTCTACGCTATTTGTACGTATGGCTACAATAAGGTTTGTGGATCAAGATCTCAGTATGTAGATGAAAGAATCTTGGATTTAGCCGGAATTGTAGGATCTGGTGTATGTTGACCGATTCAGCTACGAGCAGTTGCAAAATTCGAGATAGCGAGAACAACCGAGATGACGGGTCCAAAGATCAATGAAGCAGCTGTCGGGGCTTTTCCATACTATAGACGTACTCTATCGGAATACGTCCAGTCCAAAGAAAGATTTCCAACAGGCCTATATCAACCCGTCGCGGATAACCTCGAGATCCGTGTTCTGGAGGTTGATCCATTGGAATTCAATAGCAGTATAGTGTCCATATTACACCACTGCTCCCTCGCATTTGAAAAACATGCCGACAACATCAACCTTACATCGGCAAGACAAATGATACACGCAGTGCCCCTGGTCGAAAATACACCTTATGATATATCGCCTTGGGCTATGCATAGTTTCCTCCTATCTGTACGAGCGCAACCCGGTGCAATTGCGATCAGAAACTCATCCCCCGAACCTTGAGTCAGGCTTGAGGCCTCTCTGAAGTTCGGCTGAGTCTGTACAGCTCCAGTCTGGTCAACAACTATCAAGTATACTTAGGCAAGTCTCCAAATGTCTTAGGACGGAATGTCGCCAAAGTCGAGAGTAATCAAACCCAGCCATCCTCTCGTCCAGCCAATCGACTAGAGAGTTACATCTCTTTACTTCCTTCTCAGTGTATATTTCTAGCCAATCCCAATACTCGAGGCCGTCTCCTCGACATAGAATTACATCCTAAGGGGCATAAATTGATACCAACTATCCCATCCACAAGATCAGAACTCGCCATGAAACAGCCGCCCTCAAGAAGACTCTTTCTGAGTCTTATATCTTTGACATGTTGCGTCTCGGTGTCGCTTCTCGTCGTTCAGCTCCAAGTGGTATTGGTAATAGGCTTTTTTGATGGTATCATCGCTATTCTAAAATTGTATCCACTTAGACACGGAAGAGTCCCTAGGAAAGAGTCCTTGGGATAACAGGTGCCGGATATTAGTACCGTGCTGGAAGTCTGCAATTGGGATTCTATCATACGTCGAAGACGGGAGATACTCGTGGAGGCCCTCTGGTTGGAGCGACAGCGACATTAGCGCGGTCCATTCTTCCAGAATGTTCATGATTGGTCCAATGGTAAGGCGAGGGCGTGAAACAAAGATTGAAATTGCATCTTTTTATACAAGATCCATAAAACTATAGTGGAGAGAGGATTTTTATTCCGGTAGGCAGCGTTTTGGTGCCCTTTAGCGAATCGGCTGCGCATGTTGTCACCTTGGCCAACATACCGCCTGATGCCAGATGATACCCACAGGAGGTGAAGATATATTCCACCGTCTGTTGGGACCTCTCCTAACACAGCCTTCTACTCAAGTCTACAGATGGATTAGAGGATGAATGAAATGCGTATAACGTATAGCATTAAATTGAAGACTAATAATCTCTCCCAGGATTAATAACGTACACTTCAGAATCATATAGTCTACCGTCCTAGTATAAATCCATCACTCAGCTGTTCAGGTACATTCGGCATCTCCACTGGAAGCTTAGACGCTTCGCGACGGTGATATGCTCGATGGTGGCTTCCTCAACGGCGGTTTCCTCTTCCTGACGCTTGCGTTTCAAACTCCTAGATCTGTTGGAGGCCATTTTCGCTTAGGCGCTTGATAGACAATTTGAAGTGGATATGAGTTCCAACAATGACACTGAGCAGGGAACGGAACCCTCAAAATGAATTTACTTCACTGGACATACGTAACCGTTTAGATTTTGACTACCTTCTAGTTAAAGTGGGTGGTGGTTTCCTTTTTCAACAATGCTGTTAGTTCCACACCTTCTTGCCCTTTCACTCTTTCTTATTTATCAGTTTATATGTCCCTTGGAATTTACCTTTTCATACTCACTCACTGTGAAGAATTACGCGACTAGGGTCCGGGCCAACTATGATTCGAAGGCTCTTTATATTACTACCATTGCACAGACATGTCAAGAATCCTTATGCATCCTTATGAATACTTATGAAGACTCTTGGCAAAGGTGGAATCATATTCACACACGCCTGGTCCCTACCGTATGGTTGAATTCTAAGCCCAAGGAGTCGTTTAAGCCCATATTTGTATATATATATACTATAATTATTCGTTAGTATTCATAAGTATTCATAAGAATTTATGAATTGCGTACAGGTCAAAGTCCCTTATGAATAATTCATGACAAGTCTGAGTACCAAATACTTGTATGAAGAGAGCCATTCTGTATCTTTTAACTCCATTACCTTCCATATACGATCGGTGGTTGTACGTATGCATAGTCTCTTTTGTCAGGTTATAATGAACAGTGGCCCTCCGACTGGCCAGGAGAAAGAGTAGGATGAAGAGAAAAAGGAGCGTCCATAAACACGAACCATCCACAACGCGCCCACACATCAAGCCTCGTAAGCGGCAGTGGCGTACTTCAGACTCCCGTCAATGGTGTCCTTCTGCTCCTTTGTGCACGCCGAGCGGGTCTGAATGAGACCAATAAGGGTTGTTGCCATAAAAGCGACCTCCTGCCGGTCGGACATACTATACAATCCACCGGCTTGGCATTTCTCTACTGTATATCGCCTCTGCTCGCCCTCTAGATTTTCAGGTCCTCAATGCAATCTTGTTCAGTCTCCCAATCTCTACAAGTACTAATTATGGTAACAAGGTTGAATGCGAGGAATGGCAATAGTGAGGGTGAAAGTGACATCCTTAACACCCGTGACAGCCTCACCGAGGGGAGCTTGGATTGCCTGGAGATCTCGATAGGCTTGGCCGGGGCTTGAAGGTTCTGCGATATAAGAGATGCCTTGTTGATACCATCGATAATAGATTGCGCAGCCCGTTTAATTCTGGCTTGACAACCGTTTTCTGGGCAGACGGCAGCGGTTGGAGAAGGCATCGCATCAGGATACTAGGACAAAAAAGGCAACAAGAATGACGTTCATTGTGGAGAGAGGTAGAAGTTTTAATTGGAGGTTGCTGACTGGGTTGAACTTCAGACACACCTAGTTCTTTGACAGCCTTTATATAGGCATCCAGAATCCGCAAAGTCCTCGCGGTTTTTCATTGGGACGACTCGAGATCGGTTGACATGGACTCGAGTCCGAACCCTTAGAGGCACAAACTTGACGTACACAACGACCACAGGAAATACCAAATACTTACAATGCAACACTCAAAGGTCTGATGTGCGTGAGTGTAAGAACCTCTTCATCAACCTATCAAGATACAGAACGCTAACAGATGCTCACTGAACCTCTGAGAACGGGATTTTTGCCATATTTACTTACCATTTATGTAGAAGTGCTCTCCCATAGGCTCGGTAATAAATTTACACCCGCTTGCAAACCTAAACAAACTTGAAAATAGCTTGCGTACGAGTTGGACTTGAAATCTCTCAACATAGGACGGGAAAATGCCCCGAGAGCGAAAGAAGAGACTTGAAGAGGTGATGGAACTTTAAAAACCAAGGTTAATCTATGTATTGCTGTAAGTACATAAGTGCTGGGTTGGGTATAGAACAAGAGAACGGATGTTCATACCTGAAAATGCAGGAATTATTTTTTAAAAACCATGCCCATATGCAGTGGCAACCGGCTCATGCTTGAAGAACCCGGGGGAGATATTCTCTTCATGAAGATATGATGCCAGTACCTCACAGATACTCAATGAGACCAGGCAACTCGGCAGTCACCCGCTCTCATGTACCAGAAGAATTACATAACCCCCATTCAATCAATGATCATGTTACCTTCAACTTTGCACTTCTAGATGATATTTGAGACTTGGATACTTGGCGGCATTGGAGTCAAACAATTTGCTATGGTTCGGTACAGCACTCACTACTGTCTACTAAGGTTGAACGCTCCCACTCTGTGACATGAGAATATGATCAGACGTTGGACTG